AATCCTTTTCGTTGTTAATATAATGGATTAAAACGTGCTTGTTTTTGTCGTAAATGGTACGTAACTTTGAAGGATTTGCAAAATATGTTAAACTGCAAATTTTTAATTTACAATATAATTTACGGATAATTATTCAAATAATTTAAAATATATGCTAAATTATTTATTTTGTGAAAATAATTTTATAATAAAAATGAAAGCAAGATCGTCTGTCTGACGAAAATCATGTTACAATTATCAGTAAAATTGATATGAAATTTAATATATTCGAATCTGATTAATTGATATATAAATACAACAAATATGCAAATTATTAATTTTATAACCATTGCTAATAATAAAAAAGGATCGAAATCGTCGAATTAAAGATCCTTCGACTTTGTACCATCCATGACAATCAATTAGCATCATAAATAAGATAAATAAGAAAAATAATTGAGATGACAAAATCTATATACGTATATTTTCGAAAAGATTGCATAAAAAAAAAAATATAAAACAAAGCGCGTCAAAATAGCCAACGATCGGTAGCGATTAATTATTATGGTAGACTATATTGGGCTGTTGGCATGAGGTTTAATAAAAGTAAGCTGCTCGACGTGTCAATATCTCTGTTGTAATCGAACCCTGCAATTAGACCTCCCTTAGACACTTGTTCCATAGAGATGCTTGCCCTAGATTTAATCAAGTTGGTTACCTTGTAATGGTTCTCTTATGAGAGAGAATGGAAGATTTTATAAAATTAAAACGTTATTTTTAAAATATATATCGCAAATATTATTATAAAAAACAAACGATTCAATACAAATTTTGGACTTTATATAATAAAAATGTAGATTATTAATAATCTCGTCTCTAATAAAAATAAGAAAAATCGATAATCGTTTTATTGTATAAAACGTATATTTTTGATAAGAATTAATTTTTTTTTTTTTTTAAATTTGCTATCTTCTTTTTCCTATAGAGATCTTTTAATTCTCTCTCAATGGGAAATCCATTTGTATCGAGATACAAAGGAGAGACCGTAAACAAGTCCGTAGATCTGTGATCAATGTGGTGGATGCGTATTATTAGAGAGTAGATCGATGCAACACAATCACCAATATACTCAGTTCACTTTTTCAACTCGTCGCGTGATGATAGAACTAAAAAATACGAACATGTTAAAAAAAAATATTAAGATTGAATTGAAATCGATCGAAAGGGAGACGTTGCTAATGCCGTTGCTCGCCCTTTGGCCATTTTCTTTCTGTCGGTCTCAGGTATTCGGTAACATCGCGCTGGATGCTGATACCTCTATTACTAAGCACAACAATTTCCAAAGCTTCATTCAAGGTCTGATGTTGCTTTTTCGGTAAGTAAACAACACTTAACGCCACGCAAAACTTAACTGCGATTAATAAAGAAAAAAAAAAAAAAAAATAAGAAAAAAAAGAAAGAAA